TCGTACCGATAACGTTGAGGCTGACAATCTTGCTAAAGACGCTCTTAGAGCCTTATTGTATCCCATTGAATGATTAATGAAATTTACAGTTCGACCAAAAAAAAAATATAAAAGAGTACAACGAATGACTTTAATTCAGAAATCGGTATAAAAGTGACAAGTATCTCTAAGCAGAAATCGCTAAAGAATGAAAACAAAAATGATGTTCTTCTAGTTTTTGTAAACATGTCAATGAAGCACTAAATTTTAGCATAAACTTCCTTGTAGACAATATTCATTGTTTTCCTTTGCGGTACTCCTTTCTCGTCGGTAATAAGTATTTTCAATCTTTTTTTAGATGTTACTCTTGAAACTGCATCATAGAGATGACTATGAGAGAATACAGGTTTGGGTAAATACAACCCAACTCTCTCAAGCATTTAACCTTGACTCTTGTTAATAATCATTGCAAAAGAAAGTGTTACGGGAAACTGTCTACAACGCAGAATGGAAAGTGTGCGTCTACCGGTGTTACAAACATCTTTGGTATCAACACACCCTCATCATCGTTATTGTCGTAATTTCCCGTAATCACCCTAGCCTCGATAACATGATTTATCAACTTAGTCACTATCAATCTTGTACCATTGCACAATCCACTCTTAGGGTCAATGTTTCATAGTAACATTATCAGAGCTCCCACCTTCAAGAATAGTTCGTGATTAGGCATACCTGAAATCTTAATGTTATTCAAAAACCCTTGCATATATACAATGTCGTCAGCATCACTTATATCTAAGGGTTCAATACTTTCTGCACTTATATATCTTTTTTTTTTTCACCTGAATATTAAACAATTTCAAACAATAGTTACATATAACAAAATATTAATTTTGGTACCATTTTTAATAATCATTCTCTATTTAATTTGAAATACGAGTGTGTAAAGGTTTAAGGTGAAGATCGCCCATGACTAAGTCCATATTATTGTCAAAATATATCTACATATTTTAAATTTGTTAGCCGAATGAATGATATTAAATTGTCTTAAAAGTTTAAAAAATACCTGGTAACTTTGATAGCATATATTGGTTTATGATCTCAACATCCACATTCCTAGGACTTAATATAGCTTTATCTCTGAAGAACTTTGCATTCGTATTAGTGGCAAACTGATTCACCGTAAATCTCCTGAACAACTGATCGTACAAGATCGTCGCAATCAAGAATTAGCAAATCTTCTTGTATCTCAATTTTGACTTCTCCAGTATTAGGCTCGTTTATTTTCCCTATCACCAATATCCAATATCCACTTTAAGAATGCTTTAAGATCTTCAGCATCATCATTAGTCAGACCTGCAAGCAATCTCATATTTCGAAGTTGTAAAACTTTACACTTGCGCCAAAGTGCTGAGGAATTTAAAGCGGCGAAGACGGTTTAAGACCTTGTTGCATCTGGTATTACTAGCAAAACCTGTCTAAAATCACCGCCAAAACAATCACCTTACCACCAAACGGTTCCTGATACTTTAATATATCACACATGCTTCTATGCAATGTCTCGAAACAGAACTTGCTCATCATGGAGGCCTCATCCCATATTATAAGCCGAGTCTCTTTGATTAATTTCGCCAAATATGAACCAGACTTCATCAAGTATGTGGTATGGTCATTAACATTTATAAGAATGCCAAATCTACAATGTGCCGTTCTACCACCTTGCAATACCAATGACGCAATCCCTCAGACACCACATTAATAACTACTTCACCTGCATGCAATCTCTTATTTCAAAGTTGTAAAACTTTACACTTGCGCCAAAATTCTGATGAATTTAAAGCGGCAAACACGGTTTAAGACATTGTTGCATCTGGTATTACTGGCAAAACCTGTCTAAAATCACCACCAAAATCAATCACCTTACCACCAAACGGTTCATGATACTTTAATATATCACACATGCTTTGCAATGTCTCGAAGCAGAACTTGCTCATCATTGGGGCCTCATCCCATATTATAAGCCGAGTCTCTTCGATTAATTTCGCCAAATACGAACCAGCCTTCATCGAGCATGTGGTATGGTCATTAACATTTATAAGAATGCAAAATCTAGAATGTGCCGTTCTACCACCTTGCAATATATACCAGTGACACAATCCCACTAGACACTACATTAATAACTACTTCACCTGCATGCAATCTCATATTTTGAAGTTGTAAAACTTTACACTTGCGCCAAAGTGTTGATGATTTTAAAGCGGCCAACACGGTTTAAGACCTTGTTGCATCTGGTATTACTGGCAAAACCTGTCTAAAATCACCGCAAAAAACAATCACCTTACCACCAAACGGTTCCTGATACTGTAATATATCACACATGCTTCTATGCAATGTCCCGAAGCAGAACTTGCTCATCATGGGGGATTTATCTCATATTATAAGCCGAGTCTCTTTGATTAATTTTTCCAAATACGAACCAGTCTTCATCGAGCATGTGGTATGGTCATTAACATTTATAAGAATGCCAAATCTAGAATGTGCCGTTCTACCACCTTGCTATACCAGTGACACAATCCCACTAGACACTACGGATAACACCGGATTTTGACCATTTTTATGGATCACTTTAATATCTTTTGCAGGTATTTTTACTCCATTTTCAAAGGTTTTCAAAGGATTTCTATGTTTTTGGATTTTAAAAGACTTTTCAGGTAATTTGGGATAAAGAGGTGCAAATTGGAACAAAAAGACTCTTTTGGATAAATGCAGACCGTCAGAACTTTCATGGAGAGACGAAGACCTTCTCACTTTCTGATCACTCTCAAAATTGGACAACTAATAGAAGACTCAACCAGCTTTCAAATGCATTTGGTTTGGAGTCATTCCAACGTTTGGATCTCAAGATATTCCATTTTCCCCGGAGACACTCGAAGACGGCCGGCAGCTCACACGACCACAGCCAAGCCTTCATCTCCCACAGTCGCAACCCACGTGACTGCGGCCAGGCATCTCCAGCCTTAAAAGCCCAAGTCATTTCCCAGCCTCATTTCCGGAACCCTAGAGACCCTGTAGTATTGAAGACTATAAATACTTGTCATTTATGTCGTTTTTAGATATCACCTTTCATACTTTTACAAAAACTCTTTTCCCCAGCCGTTTTATGCGATTTTTAGAGAAGATTATTCAACTCTGAGTTCATCAAGAGAGAAGCTTTCATTCATCTCTTTTCTTTACTGTTTTTGATTTCTTTTATTAAAACTAATGATGATGTCGACCTCAGCCATGTCTGAGTAGATCCCGAGTTGGGCATAGGGTTCCCGAAAGGGGCTCTCATAATCGATTAAGACATCTAGGTTTATAGATCTGGGATTTTAACAATGTTCTCTGTTTATTCTCATCCTTAATGCATGTATGCTTGATTGATCACCTCGTATCTGATCTAGATAGTTAGTATTGTTAAAGTTTTCATTAAGTTTCCGACCTAGAATGAAACAGGCGATTTTTCCATAGGAGTGGAAACCTACCTGTGGCGAAATCGTGAGTACTGACGAGTCCTGTGCAGCTCTTGCGTTTTCTCCCTTCCAGGGCCAGAGTGGAAGCCTATTGTTCAGGGTTATGAGAAACAGTTGGTTATGATCACGACAGTGACGTAGTCATACTGATGAACTCTAGCTCTAGAACCCTAATATTTTGAAATCCGTCAATCCCAATCTAAAATCCCTAGTGTTGAAACCGATTATGATCCCTGTAGAGTTTCCGAAAGTCCAGCGTTTTTAGTCATAGTTTACAAACCAATCGATATTTACTTGTTTCTTTAGATCTCCATTTTATTTGCTTTAGTTCGAGTTTTACTTGTTTCATCTTGCTTTCATTCGATTATCTACTTGCTTTTGAGGATATATTTATTTGCTTTCTTTAGTTTTAGTTTAATCCGTAACAAACAACCAATCCCTGAAACCGATTTAGTCTAGACATAAACTTATAAACCGTAGAAAAATACCAGGCACACAAATCCCTGTGGATTCGATCCCTAAGTACTACAACTGATTAGCTGTGCACTTGCGGCTTTCATTTGTTTTTATTAAAGGTAAAACTTATTCCCTGACCTCGTAGCACATCAAGTTTTTGGCGCCGTTTCCGGGGATTTGTTTCGCTGCCTTTGTGATTTTTCTTGTTCTAATTTCTGTTCTAGACATCTGATCTCTAGTTCCTTCTTAAGTTGCTGAATTATCTTTCCCTTCTTTTGTTATTCTCTGAATTGCATGAATACCAGGCGTAGACCTGTAGAAAACATTCCAATTCTAGACGAGATAGACAGACACGAAAGAGAACTTCAAAGACTTAGACGAACGCAAGGAATGACCAACGACAACCAGCCTGGAGATGCCATTAACCGGAACTTAAACATGGACCAAGATTGGTCCGAACATGGTGAAAATGAAGAGAATGATCAAAGAGAAGGTGAACATGCTCGACAAGATGAAGAAGAGAATGAGATCCCTCCAAGAAACCCTCAAATTCGAGAGAGAGAAGAACGCGAAGACCTTGATGCACCTATCAATGCAGCTGATGATAACAACCAGGAGATGCAGCCGAATGAGTGCAATAACCGCCCTGTTCAGCAAGCAAATCAACACCGAAGACAAGCCAGGAACCATCACATTGCTGATTTCGATGCATCTACTCGGAATTTTTAAAATCGATCTGCAATCCAAGTACCATTCCTGAACCGGAATGAGTTTGAAGTCAAGCCGCAAATCATCTCTTTGGTGAAACAAAACCAGTTTCATGGAGTTCCTTCTGAACATCCAATGGACCACATTGAACTCTTTGAAGAAATCTGCAGCATGATGAGGATAAACCAAGTTCCAGCAGACTATCTAAAGTGTAAGTTGTTCCCATTTTTATTAGCAAATAAAGCTCACCGGTTATTGAAATCTTTGCCTGCCGGATCAATCACTAACTGTGAAGAATGTAAAACTGCTTTTCTGAACCACTTCTATACTATGTCAAGGTCGAACTTGCTGAGAACCAAGATCTCAAGTTTTCAGTAGTGACCAGCTGAACCTTTCTATGAAGCCTGGGAGCATTTTAGAGAGTATGAACATGACTGCCCTCACAATGGATTTCCCGGATCAAGCCTGCTGAGCATATTTTACAGAGGTTTGCAACAAAAATACGCTTTCACTTGATACAGCAACCAATGGAGATTTTGGACAAAAGACGATAGCCCAAGGAAGAGCCCTCATCGAAAATTTAGCTCAAGCCAATAGCAATGAGTGTCCGGAATACAATCGATCGACGAAGCAGACTGGAACAGATAGCAAGGAGATAACCGAGTTGAAGAACATGATGAGCCAGCTTTTAAAAAGCCACAATCGCCCAATCCATGCTTGTGAGACCAACAATGGCGTAGAAGACGAAGGACATTGTGATATCGATCACACTAATCCAATCTTTCAAGAAGAAGAAGTGAACTATGTAGGAGCACAAGCACCATATCCGAATCGCTTCAACAATGGTTTCAACAACAACTTCTGTAATGCAAACTACACCAACCTCTCTTACCGCAATCCAAATGTGGAGAATCCCCAAGACCGGCATTACCCACCGCAGCAGAAACCTTCCAAAATAAGTTCCAAGGTGGAAATTTTGAAAGGACTAGAGTTTTACAGCCACGACAACCATATAACTATCAAGGTACGGGATTCAACAATTAATTTGGACAACAGCAGGGACTTACAACAAACCAGTTAGCTTCGCAAATCGGGAGACTTGAACAGTCCATCCAACAGCTTGTTATGACAAACGAGAAAGCAGCTAAAGACATGAACGTGAAAGTTGACTGCATGTACAACGATCTGAACGGGAAGTTTGAAGCTTTATCTTCTCACGTCAAAAAGCTAGAGGTCCAAGTTGCCCAAACAGCCAACTCTATGAAGAGACAAAATGGAGCTCTTCCCGGAAGAGTTGAAGACAACCCCAAGAGATTCTGCAATGCCATTACTACATTGCCCGAAAAAGGAGCCAAAACCGACGGAGAGGACAAAGAAACCCCATTCTTTATACCTCTCTACAAGAATGACGATGCAAAGCAACCACCATTCAAGGTATTTCAACGTTCCCCACTTCAAAGGCTTACAAAAGTCGATGACCCAGGACGTTTTTTTTCTAATGTTTCATTTCAGGAATCAAATTCACAAATTGTTTATGCGACTCCGGAGCCAATGTCAACATCATGTCTAAGATGTTTGCAAAAAAGTTGGGTATAAAAACCTTAAGGACATCGACAGTTAAGGTTATCTTTGGAGATTTATCTCAAAAAGATACTGAAGGGGCGATTCATGACCTGTATATTCTAGTTGGGAACAAGATTGTTCCAGCAGATTTCCAAGTTCTGGAAATGGATCAAGACAAGGAGAGACCATTTATATTCGGGCGACCGTTTCTAGCAGCAGTAGGAGTAATAATCAATCATGCAAACCGGCATGCTGTCTTCCTAAGCGTGGACCGCAAGAAATTTTATCCCACTGTCCCAGACGATGTTCCAAGCAAAGGAAAACGTCCAAAGGAGAAAGACAAGGAGAAGCCAAGACCTTTTGCAAAAATCAAGATCATCATTCCACCAGATTCAATAGAGACGAGTGAGGAACAGATACAAGAACTGATCGAGAATACAAAAAAGGTTTTAAACAACGTTAAAGTCCGGAAGAATAGTAAAGGAAAGAAGCCGGTGCCACAAGAAGAAGAGGCCAAAGCTCCAGCACCCGGAAATGATAAAGGCACATCAAGTGGAGTACCATTTCAACCAACCAGATCTTTCATGCCTAAGTCGAGCTAAACGATTTAAAATAAAAGCGCTTAATGGGAGGCAACCCATTTAAGTACACTTTCTTTTAGTTTTCTTTTCCTTTCTGCAATTTATGTTTCCTTTTTTTTTTTTTTTTAGTTTCAGGTACCCTTATAAATTAAAAATACAAAAAAAATCAGAAAAATAGAAAAACCAAAAAAAAAGGAGAGGTTTTTAGCTGCTCGGCCCGTCAAAATCCTGAAAGTTGGACGAAGGCCGTAGGGAAATGGGCCGCGGTCGCGACCAACCGACCCGCAGCCAACACACCTTTGACTGTGGCACCGTGAATGTGATCTCGGCCAAGCTTATATTTACTGCGGTCGCGCGTCTCCTTACCGCAGCCGTTGGTCGTTAAGACGGGATCTCCGATTCCCGTTACTTTTAGAGGTTTCTGGTGATTCTCAACAACTCTCGGAACATTCTCGGGACTGATCATGCCGATTTTCCGTAAGTTTTTTTCATTCCCGGTTGCGTATCAGATAAGTAAGGTAAGTTTCCATAAGCTTTTGAATTCCCGAAAATTTCCCGTTTTTGTCATAAAACGCTTTTTAAAGAAAGAAAACGAACTTTTTGGATCAAAACTTCTTTTGCTCTTCTCTTCCAAAAGACTTGGAGATTCAGGAGATAGAACATTTTTTTCAATTCTTAAGCTTTTTAAGATATTCTTGGACGAAGCCTCATTCTTTTTCAAAGTTGATTTCAAATCTATCATCAAATCTCTTTTTCCAGCAAGGTATGAAGCTCAAACTCGTCATTTTTAATTGATTTTTGGAATTTAGAGTTTTCTTAAAAAGCTCAAATCTAGGTTTATTAGTGGTGGAGATAGCTTAAGAAACAATAGATTAGCTTTATAGGTTGTCTGAAAATCGATTTTAACATCTGGTTTAAGAGGAACTGAGAATTTTGGAATTTTGAATCTACATGCTTTGTAAAAATCGAATTTGGAACAGCAAAATTAATGAATTTGATCAAATCTTATGTGATTAGTGATTAGTATTAGGTAACCTATAGATTTGACATGGAAATTGCTTAATTAAACCAATTAAAAAAAAAATTGTGTCAAGAACATCAAAAATCCGAATCTGGTCAAACTACTCGATTTTTCGATTTGATATCAATTATTCTTGCTTGTTGTTTTAACTAATCTCTTGATACTCTGATAGTATCCCTGATCGTTAATATGTTAAACTCAGCATCCATATTCACTCATTTTCCGAGAATTACCTTGTCTTGTAGGAAAATGGAACAAACCGAGTCTCGAAGAAGCCGTCACATTGGTGACAGCTCCGAGGTAATACCCGATGAATGTACTCTTGGAGAGTACATGCTGAGACGAGCTAGAGCGAGAATAAGAGGTCGAGTAATGAGGCTGCTCCAACACTCAAGAGAAGCCCATGCGATTCCCGAGCCCCAAAGATCAGATATATTGGGAAGGAGATTAACCCAAGATTTGATTATGCAAGGCGCTTCAAAAATCTGAACATCAAACCAACGCTCTGCATTGATTTCATACACCCGAGATGCTTGGGATTAGGGAAGATGTCATCTGGTACATCGATGCACTTAGGCTGAGACCCTACATGGAGCTTAATCTCCCAACTTATGCTGAGTTAGTTCGCGAGTTCTTAGCAACCGTCACCCTCCACCACACAAAGAGAAGGAGCCCCAGAGCATCTGACGGTGTTCTATCATTCTCTATCTGCGGACAGTCCTACTCACTCACCATTTCTGCACTTTGTGAAGCTCTTAAGCTTCCATACACTGATGGCATTCACCTTGAAGAAACCTGATTTTGACTTATGGAGAGAGATGGGTCATGGCGTCTATGATATAGAAAGATCCAAGTCAGTCCTTCTTACTCATCCCGCCGTGAGAGTTGTGCACAAACTCTTAGCACACACAATTTTCTCTAGAGCCAACATGGGATGTGTTTCTGAAGACCAAGATCATTACACTTCAGATACCAATTATGGACAACCCTCGACTTGCCTGGTTTTCCTCGATCATAGCACAAAACATGGTAAAGGTAAAGCATGATTTACATGGATGTGAGGACACTACTGCTTATGGGAGCGCTATTACAGCCATACTACAGGCTATAGGATTTGATTTCTCATCTAATGATCCACTTCCCGACGTCTGGTATGATCTACTCTATCTCTCTCGCGATCACACTATCTCTCGTGGCATTTTCGATCCAGACAGGTTTGGTAACAAGTATTGCACTGGCATCGAGGAGCACCGAGTTTGCTTACCTTCAGCATCAGTCCCGAGATTGTGTAATGGAGCACGCCCAAGATGGACTCCGGGACCTGATGAGTTTTTACCTTCTGTACCTCGTCTGCCACTCACTATCGGGCAATACATAGTGGTTAAGGCAAAGCGCGACGCAGCGGCAACACGTGCTCACTATCAGCCATCAGTTTCCACCGACCATACTTCATCATCTACATCATCAGGCACACAGTATGACCTGGAGCGCAGAGTTGAGAGACAGGGACGACGTTTCGAGAGTGTCGTCACCTTCCGACAAGAGCATCACCATTTCGAGGCAGACACATCGGAGGAAGAGTGATTGATCAGCACTTCATTGTCATTTGACCACCATCATGGTTCTATCATCATTTTCTTTTCTCTTCTTATTTTATTTTTAGACTATCTCGCTTTTATTCACCAAATTTTTCACACTTGGGATAATGTGATTTAAGTATGGGGAAGGATGCCTATCCGTACTAATCATTTTCTTGCTTTGTTTTTTAAATTTCAAGTACTTTTAAAATTTTAATATGTAACCTATGCGACCTTTAGTATTTTTTCAGGAATGTTTGACACAAAACTATGATGATTTAGACCTGCCCTCTTCTACACCACACATGATAGCTCATTTTTGGTTAGCACTAGACTAGGCGGTAGCTAAAGTACTTGCACTACGAACTCCCACCAGAGGATTTCTATTCATGGAGATTCTTTCTGACAGGATACACTAGCTCATTTTATTTCACCTTAATATTGATATCTACTTTTCTCATCATTGATTATAGGCAGGCATCGTGATATACATCTAGAATGTTTTTTTTTCTTCATTTTTACCACTTTTTGTCGTCCTAGATGGCCAGTTCATCTTTATCTGGTACCATACTCTAAACCCAAATCCCTTGTTTTCAAACCTCATGCATTCTCTTTTTAGTTTATATCAGCAGATATGTGCAAAAACGTCATAGAGAAGAGGAACAACGCGGTTTTCAGTCACTCAAGAGAAAGACTGAATGGAATTGGGAAGGAAGAGTATCAGAAACCTTATCAAGCTTTATATTGCCTCATTCTTATTGGTAATTTAGTGCTCTCTATGACTCTATACCTAAATGTGTTTCCTTTTTCATCTAAAAAAAATGAAAGGAAAGGAAACAAAAAGCCTAATGAGTCTTAGATTGTCGAAATTATTTGGAGCAAAGGTAACCACTATTCATCTAAGAAGCTATGGTTTTGAAAGATAGACAAAAAAAATAAGTCTGGGGGAGTTAAGAGAGAACCTGAGGAAGAAGACTAGAAATTTAGGGCAAGAATAAAGTGACTGGAAACTGTGGATATCAACAGTTTCACTCTCTCTTGCGGTTTTGCATAATATCTTGCACCCTCCAGATCTTCAGGTAACCCATAAACACTTTAAGCCTTACCCCTAAAATGACCCCTTTTGATACATAGCCTAGATTGCCTTGCTTATACTTTCTCTGATGAGAACCACCAAAATTTTAAATGAATGTTAAGAGCTAGTTGACTGGAAGTTGAATCTAAGTGTAATAGATTTCCGCATGACGGATTAACGGACTAGTTATGCCCATATTTTTATTGAGAATTTTCTAGGATGCTCGCGATTGATGCATAATGATTGATATTAGTCTAAATTTTTGGTCTCTGAGATTTTGTTAGTTCCTGCATTTTCAAACCTCTCACCGAGATTTGGCCTTTGTTTTGTTTGAGGACAAACAAAAGTGTAAGTTTGGGGGAGTTGATAACACTGGATTTTGACAATTTTTATGGATCACTTTAATATCTTTTTCAGGTTTTTTTACTCCATTTTCAAAGGTTTTCAAAGGATTTCTATGTTTTTGGATTTTAAAAGACTTTTCATGTAATTTAGGATAAAGAGGTGCAAATTGGAACAAAAAGACCCTTTTGGATAAATGTAAACCGTCAGAACTCTGATGGAGAGACAAAGACTTTCTCACTGTCCGATCACCCCCAAAATTGGACAACTAATAGAAGACTCAACCAGCTTTTAAATGCACTTAGTTTGGAGACATTCTAACGGTAAGATCTCAAGATATTCAATTTTCCCCGGAGATAATTGAAGATGGCCGGCAGCTCACGCGACCACGGCTAGCAGCCTACCACCGCGGCCAGAGCCACGTGACCACGGCGAAGCCTTCATCTCCCACGGTCGCAACCCACGCGACCTCGGCTAGGCATCTCCGACCTAAAAAGCCCATTTCTGAAGCCCAAGTCATTTCCCAGCCTCAATTCTAGAACCCTAGAGACCCTGGAGTATTGAAGACTATAAATACTTGTCATTTAGGTCACTTTTTAGATATCACCTTTCATACTTTTACAAAAACCCTTTTCACCAGCTTTTTGATGCGAGTTTAATTTTAGAGAAGATTGTTCAACTCTGAGTTCATCAATAGAGAAGCTTTCTTTCATCTCTTTTCTTTACTGTTTTTGATTGCTTTTATTAAAACCAATGATGATGTCAACCTCAGCCATATCTGAGTAGATCCCGAGTTGGGAGGGTTCCCGAAAGGGGCTCTTATAATCTATTAAGACATCTAGGTTTACAGATCTGGGATTTTAACTATGTTCTTTGTTTATTATCATCCTTAATGCATGTATGCTTGACTGATCACCTCGTATCCGATCTATATAGTTAGTGTTGCGAAATTTTTCATTAAGTATCAAACCTAGAATGAAACAGGCGATTTTTCCGTAGGAGTGAAAACCTACCTGCGGCAAAATCGTGAGTACTGACGAGTCCTGGGCAGCTCTTGCGTTTTCTCCTTTCCAGGGCCCGAATGGAAACCTACTGGTTAGAGTTGCAAGAAATAGTTGGTTATGATCACGATGGTGATGTAGTCATACCGCCAAACTCTAGCTCTAGAATCCTAATATTTTGAAATCCGTCAATCCCAATCTAAAATCCTTAGTGTTGAAACCGATTATGATCCCTGTAGAGTTCCCGAAAGTCCAGCATTTTTAGTCATAGTTTACAAACCAATCGATATTTACTTGTTTCTTTAGATCTGCATTTTATTTTATTTAGTTCGAATTTTACTTGTTTCATCTTGCTTTCATTTGACTATCTACTTGTTTTTTAGAATAGATTTATATTCTTTAGTTTTAGTTTAATACGTAACAAACAACCAACCCCTAAAACCAATTTAGTCTGGACATAAACTTAGAAACTGTAGAAAAATACCAGGCACACAAATCTATGTGGATTCGATCCCTAAGTACTACAACTGATTAGCTGTGCACTTAGGCTTTCATTTGTTTTTATTAAGGGTAAAATTTGTTCCCTCACCTTGTAGCACATCAACTACATTAATAACTACTTCACCTTCTGATCTCAAAGCAGCTGCTAGAACACTCTAGAGGAAAGTTTTCCCAGTACCACCAAAACCGTAGACGAAAAAGACTTCACCAGCATCGCGGTTCACTGCGTCTAATATCTCTGTGTAAATCCCAAGCTGTTCATCAGTTATTTTCAACATGAGCTCTATTTGTTTTTCTCGCACTTCGTTTCGATTATAACTCTTCTTGTCACATATTAGAGTATTTTTGTATTTGTCGAGCTTGATGTCATCCGGACAGGACATCTTGTTGAAATTCGATAGAGAATTACCACTCGCACGCAACAGCTTCTCAATCTCTGATAATGTGAAGTTTTTGATTTCTTCATCATCCATAACCAAATCTGCGAATAGAATTGGAAAAATTAGCGGGGAAACAATCTAAAGTGAATACGACATACATATTTCTGTAGAGTTAGAAAGTTCTGCAAGTTAAGATGATGGCAATAGAAATTGTGAGGTACCAGCAGAAAAATTTGTGACTTTGTTGGATTAAGAATTGATGACCAAAGTTCTGCAAGTTTTTGAATTTTTGCGACTTCTAAACAAATTTCAAATTGGTGATAAAAATTATGTGCTTATTAGTTTAAGTGGAAGCGACCCTTTTATTTTTCTATAGTAGCTAAATTCTGCAATTATAGATTTATACGACAAATAAATTTGTGAAATCCAGATCTTATAAAGACGATTTAACATGAGGTGATAGGGACTTTGAAAACACGTCTCCATAACTTATGAACTCCAGAACTTTTGAGCTCATTTAAAAACAATAAAACATGAACAAGGCTACATGTTTTATCATTAAATAAATTTTGATCAAATCCAAGACTTTGAAATCATGTTAGAAGGAAAAAAACCGGCTTACTTAGGTTTTTCCTTATCTTTTTTTGCTGGTGTAAAATATCATCTGATAGTATTTCCCAAGTTGCGTTCCAAACATTTAGGATTGACCCAATATTATTCGATAGCAACATTATAACAAATAGTTTACGTGTAAACCGTCCCGATCCCCAATAACTAGCTTCTTTGATTGCTTCGATATATTATTTGTCATCATCCAACAATCCTAATGCAAAGCAAGCTTCTTGGAAAGTAGCATCGAGCACATCGTTTACTGTTCTAATATCTTCAAAACATGTAGATCCTTTCACGAGGTTAAGTAAAACTCGTAGATAGTATATTTCGCCTAATGTAGGCGACACATATGTGATCCTCCCTATAGTTTTTTTTTGTCGTTTTCGTGGCTCCCAAGTTCTTGCCTTGACATGCCAAGCAAACTTAGTTGGAAGATCAGAATAAGTGAGCTCCTTAGCTTCTGGATACATATTATTGCATTCCATCCACACTAAGAATTTAGACCAGCTAACATGCATACAATTTAACACATCTTCAACCGGGTCATCTTTTTTATACACAAGAAGTTGTTGATGAGGGTGATGGAACAAAAGCTTCTCAACTGCTATCGTACAGAACTGAATAATGAATTCCAAGATACGCCATACTGCCTCACAAGCGGACACATATCTGTATATTATATTTACTTTAGAAACCAAAAAAAAAATTATTCTTGAGACTAAAGAATTTAATGTCATAGAGGAATGGATTATAGCTTCATTGTGGTTATTTGTTTCCATATTTACCATATCCTATATAATGTTTCTCCTTTTCACTTATTTTAATAAATATTTACTAGAACTTTAAAAATTTGGTTTATAATGAAAAACAATTTAAAATAATAGTTAAGAAAATCAAATTTTAACCAGCAACTATAATGCTCTTTGGTTTCGTTTTCTTTATCGCTTTCACCAAACTCCAGCTCGTACGTAGTCAGGAACTTTAGTTATGTATTTGAACAAATACTTAATATGGCATGATTGGTTTCACCATTCGACATTGATGTGGGCTGGAAATCGAATCAATTGATCCCGATAATATGGAATAACATAATAGTTATCACTGATAACACCGTATTTTGACCAATTTTATGGATCGTTCTAAAATATTTTAAGTGTTTTTTTATTATGTTTTTATTTTATTTGTGGTTTCAAGACACTTTTTAGAAAACTTAAAAAAAGCTCAACAAAATCGAAAAATACCATATTTCAGCTCAGAGTCAAACCGTCAGAAGTTCACCATCAAATGAAGACTTTCTCACCGTCTGATCCAACTTAAATTTGGAAACTTTAAAGATGGAACTATCAGCTTTCCAGCACACTTTACAGCATGACAATCCAACGTTTCAATAAAAAGTTATGCGAAGAGCAAGATGTCCCCTAAACCAGCCGGCAAGCATTCCTACCCGCAGCCAACACCCATCTCGCACCGGTCCCGTTCTTCCCGACGGTAGAGAATGGTCTGTCCGACCTCGAAACCCATTTTCAAGCCCAAAATGATTCTCTCATTTGGAGAAACCCTAAGTGACGCCCAAAAATGACTTGAGCACTATAAATACATATTTTAGGAACCCTTGACAATATGCAATTTCTCTTTTAGCAGCTTTTAAGTTTGTGTCTTTCATTTTCTAAGTTTTTAGGTTTAGGGAGATACAGATCTATCTCTTGAACCCTTTTTGTTCCTTTACTTTATCAATTTCTACTCAGCTTTTCAATACAATGTTTTTGCTTTCTTCAATCATATCTGAGTAGTTTTATTGTTGGGTTTAAAGGATTTCTGATGGGGGTTATATATGTTCGATGAGGATTCCATTAGCTATTGAAGCCGAATCCTAAAAAATTTTCTTCTAAACTTATTTTTAATGCATGGGAGTAGCATCATGAACTACAATCTGATCTCGGTCTTTGGTGTTGCAAAAGTATTCATCCGGGGCCAGATCTAGTTTGAGAAGAGCAGATCAACCATATGAGTGGAAACCTACCTATGGGCAAACTGTAAATGTTGACGAGTTTTAAGCAAGCTTCCATCTTTTCCCTTCCAGGGCCAGAGTGGAAACCTACTGGTCAGGGTTGCGAGAGATTGTTGATTATGATCACGACAGTGGCGTATTCATACGTTTGTGACTTGAGTTCTAAAAGTTTTAGCTAGGATCTTTTAATTTACTTTTTAGTAATGTTTTGAATCGTTCATCCCCTGGAAGGAATTTCCCTGAAAACTCAGTGTCTCGTCTTTATAAGTTTTCGCCGATTTTCATACAAGCTTTACTCATTAGGTTATTTTTCTTTATTCCAGCTGATTTCATTCAGGCAATTTAGGTCTAGCCGTTTACATTGTTTTTAGTCGATTTTATTAGGTTTAGTTATGCGATCATGGAACCATCGGTTGTACCGCGGGACGAGAGACGGGTCGCTGAGGTTGAACCATGGCTCGCTAAGGACGAAACAGAACAATATGGGGTTGAGGGACGAGTCGTGGAGCACGTACCAGAGCAGGAACCAGACACGACCTTGGTCTTACCAGCTGGGCCGATGACCCGAGCACACACCCAGAAGCTTAGGGAGGACGTCCAGAAGGTCCTTGCCGGTCTTACGAGCCAAACGATGGAACCAACAACCAAACCAACACTCGATGCTTTGACCGTACTTATGTACTCAGGTCTTGACTAGCCTGGTTTGGGGTGCTGGCTTAATACTCTTTTTCCTTACATCCGGGTTTGTCCCAATAGTTTTACCGGATGGGATTTTAACAAGGTTAAGTCATCAACCATCTCACGACCCAGGTTCGTTTGTGGCTTGGTTCATGGGTCAGCAGTCTAAGGGTCATCTTCGGTCGAGCAGTCCAAGAGTCGGTCAAAGGCTAGCCAAAGAGTCATTCAAACTTTTCTTTATTTTAGTCAAAGTAATTTATTTCTTTTTGTAATTTCCTAAGCATGGCTCTTCGCCTGCTTTCTCTTCTATATAAACTCGATGTAAGCTATGGAATGATGATAACTTTTCCCTTAATATGAGACTTTTCTCCTTCGTTCTTTTGAGAACTCTTTCGATTCTTAGGTGGTTAGCCTAGAATTCTTTTCGGTTTATCAAGTTCTTTTCATCGGATTTGATGCAGCCTTCGCTTAACAAAGCTAAGGGTTTTCATTAGTAATTTTAGGGGTTTAAGGACTTTCGGGAATTCATTTCTCACACCCTAACATCCTTTAACCGACGCATCTCCCTTCTTCTTTGTTCCACCCCCTTGTGTCAAATAATCCTTTGCAAGTTTGGGCCTAAGAAATTTCGGGAGTTTTTCTCTCACGCCTTAGCATCTGCTCCAAGGTTCATTCCGTGTCAAGGATCTATTAACCCCACCGAGCCAAGTGTGTGAAGTCGTGGAGATCGTATCAAGTGGTATCAGAGCCACGCCTTGAAGATTTGGTGTTATCTTTCTTTTTATTTCTTTAACTTCTGCCTTTTCTCGTCTTTTCTTTTGTCATTTTCCAGATCTAGTCTTTAAAAAAAAAACAAAAAAAAAAACAAAAAAAAAAATATATATATATATTTATTGAAACCAAAGTCTTTTCTACCTATCTTTTCTTTTCTTCTTCATACTCGCTTGATTTTTCGATTTGGTTTTGGGTCTACATCGGTTTTGATATAGTTCCTTTAGAACCGAGTAGAGTCTCTTGTGTGTGTGTGAGAATATTAAGAGTGCTGAGAGCTAAAACACTGAGTGAAACACTTGTGAGTTTTTACTAACCGTTTGTTATTTTTGCGAGGTACTCACTTTATGTCCGACAGAGACCAAACAAATCAAAGTAGTGATTACAACGCTTCGGTTCTTTCTTGACCAAGGAAATCCACATCGGTAATCATACCAAGTGGCAGTCAGGCCGAGAGGCAATGAACGCTAAGTTGGCCCAAATCACCAAACTGATGGAAAGACTGAACCAACAGTTGGAAAGTCTGGGGGTAGATCAGCCCAGAGGAGGATCCAACTCAGAGGCAGAGGAATCACAACCGGGAAGAATTCGTGGCTGATAATCCCTTTTATAATGATGGTCACACGTCTAGTGGTAGTCGGGTTCGATCCAGGCACGGGCGTAGGATGAACCGCAGTCGAGAAGAACCGTACAGTGGGCGAGAAAATATGGCCCGAGAATGTGAACCAAAAGACCAGTACCGAGTGTCGTACCGCGGTCGAGAGTGAGACGACCCAGAGCCGGCCCGGGAACGACCCGATAACGACCTCGGCAGGCTAAAGCTGCGAATACCGCCCTTATACGAGAAGAACGATCCCGATGCTTACCTGAAGTGGGAGAAAAAGATCGAGATTGTTTATAGCTGCGAAACCTTTTCGGAGAGAAAAAAAATCAACCTAGCAGCTACGGAGTTCCACGGCTACACCATGGATTGGTGGGACCAGATCATCACCAACCGGAGATGGAATGGGGATTAACCTGTAGA